TCGTATATTAATGACATGATATTTAGTTTGAAACGTGGAGTATTTCGATGGAATTGAAAAGAAGGAAAAAAAAGGAATCTATTTTTTTTTGATTATCAGGACACTATGCTCATATGGTCATAATATAACTAATGAATTATTTTGAGTGAGAAATACCTTCTTCACGTATATTTTATTGAAGTCAACAGATAAAAATATAACTATCATGATAGAAAGCAGTTTACCTGATAACGATCGTAGCTGTCTACGATGCTTTTGAAACGTTGACATACGTTTCTCATTGAGCAGAGAATGGTGCAATCCGATTGATGATCCAAAATTCGGTACACAAGTTCTACTGGTAGTGTAAGGAAGTTGGTGACAGTTTGATTTGCCATTCTAGGCTGTTTATGAAATGTATGTTGCGTAGCCTTATATGTTGGTTATATGATATTTTATTATTTTTTCTTACGATTAGATGAGTAGGTGTTTGTTTTCTTGTTGGTTTCACATAATGTTGCAATTACTTATTTAAAGGACAAGAAAGAAAAAAAATGATGTTAGCTACAGAATTGCCATAACAACTGTACACAAAGTTTTTGTTAAGATTGTTTGATCAATATAAAATGATATATAATAGACATGAATATTGTGTTCTCGTTGATAATCAGCAAAGTTTAAATGAACTTATTTTTATTCAAATTATCTTGCCATTTGATCGTAAAATCAAATATATATATTTTATAAGATGCTACAGAATTTATTCTCTTAGAGCCGAGCTAGACGTATGAATCGACGACAACAATCAGATCATCACTTTTATGGTCGACGAGTTTTACTCCATAGATTGAATTTTTTTTAAGTACGGTTGCTTACAGCAACATTTACTTTATACGATAGAAATTAAAAGAAAAATGTGTCTTTTTTTAGAAACAGCAGCATTATAAATAAAAATATTGTAACTTTTGCTCTATTAGAAATGTTAAAATCATCGTTATAGTATAAAAATTTTGTCTCGATTAGTTTACATCTGCTTCGATTTTCATTCTATAGTGAATAGTTTCGTTAAAAACTTTCATTACGATTATAAATATGGATATGATGAATCAGAAATAAATAAAAATAAGCGAATCATTCAGAAAAAATTCTTCGAGGAAATTTTGTTTTCAAGTAATTGGGCCAATTGGTTTGCTATACTTGTCACTCTTTTTCCTTCAACAGATCGACCATTCTGACACAAAAGCGGGTGTGGGTGGGTGTGTGGTGGATGTAACACTCATGCTCATACTCACTAGAGATGGGACCAGTTCGAGACATTCAACTCGTTCAAAATTTGATATTTAAATACACTCGCTAGATTGTTATAAGTTTCTGCTCGCTTCGGTTCGGTTCCAGGAAAACACGAACCGATCCCATCTCTGTTCCCTAAGTCAAATGATAAAAAAAATCACAAAATTCTTCAAAAATAACTATTTTTGAATGGATTCTCAAAGTTTAAACAGAATATTTCATGTTCATATTGAATATACTGTGATGAAATGTACATGATAAAAAAGAAAATCCGATGATTGCAATAATATAATTTCATTTTGCATGAATTCACCTTTATTAAATAACCAATTAATTTAATATAGTTGGAGAAAAAACGTTTTTTTCAGATGATTAAAAATTCATTTTTTGAAATTGATCAAAAAGTATCTTGAGTATTGGTTGAGCTATTTTCAAGATATGCTAAACAGTATAGGGAAAGTAGGTTATAACTATTTTTGAATGTAAATAAAAAATGATATAATTACCTTATTTGTTACTATAAAATTTTTGAGAACGTTGAACGCATAATTCAAATGGTTGCTCACTACGTAGAACTTTTATCAATAAATCTATGCACATTTTTAATCATTATAAAAGATTTTTTGTACATCTTGTGATATTATTTTTATCATGAACAGGACTATTCAAATGTTGTTTAATTTGCGGTATAAATAAATCTGGAGCGTATGTATATTGACATTTTACTCACAATCATCTATATTCTCAATGATTGAATTTAAACACTCAGAAAAAAAACTTGTTGAATACTTTTTCTCAATACTTTTCACAAGATATTATTTCATCATTTTTCAATAAATCACATATAAACTGATAGATAAGTGTTTGCTCTATCCTAAAAACTAAAAGATATAATTTTGTGGGTGTGGGTAAATAAAAGATGAATCCACACCTACACCCACACTCTCAAGATCAAGACTTATGCCGGCGTGGAATCGGGATAGAACTATAGACCTAGTTGATGAATTCACGACAAGATCAGGAAAAGGATCGAGATGAAACTAGAACCGAGGTCGGAAAAGAATAATCCCACGCATATCTCGATTCAAAATACTCATTTAAAGAATTTTTCATAGTATTAATACCAAAACACAAAACAGATGACCACGGAGTGAAATCCCAGAGCATTTTTACGGCATCCAAGATCCATAGTTTATAGGAGATCATGGTTTTCCAATATGTTAGCCATAAAAAATGAAACTTTTCCGACTAACATCGGGTACTTCCGTTAGTAAGAGATATTTATATAAAATACAGATAATTTAATGAATATATTTCCTTTATTATTTCAATTAAAAATCAAAGTAAAATTGCATACTAAAGATCAGTTTATATTAATATTAACGCTCGTTAAATGATTTTATTAACTATAATCAAAATAACATTTTGTGCTTGAAAAAAGCGACGATGAAATAAATTTGCCCTTGTAAAAAAATCAGGTGAAAATAAATTGTAAGAATACACCTTTTCATCGATTTTTCAGCCAATCTAATCGATTATAAAAAAAAAGAATTCATAAAATCTTTGAAGAGAAGTCTCATGAGACGACCATCTGAATCGATTGTTGAACAACTCTCGTTTTTGGACTGACTTAACTAGTTTGATAGAACATAAAAATAGTTAGGAACTCAACTTTTTTATAACCTTTAAGCAAGGTCGTCGGTAATTTTGATGAGTCAAAATTTTAGTATTTCAAAACCATTGATTTTGGTTTATTTTTGTTTAGAAATCATCTAGATGCAAAACTTTATGTTTTACGTATGTTATTATGTGAATAAATAGGAGTTCATTATACTATGTGAAATTCACTTTATTCTGTTGGATTCTGGAAGTTACTTTTTACTTGTTTTGTTTACGAAACGATGATTTTTCCAAAGCTTAAGGTAAATATTATATGTTATTTTAGAAGATGGAAAGGCGCATCTTTTGATAAGGGTATGGGTTCTGTATCTCTGCACATCCACATCCTTAATATGATTAAATATAAGGTTATACTAAAATGTTATTTCTCTAAGATGAGTACTAGCAGCTATGTCGTGCTTCATATTTTAACTCGCAATAATTACGCTGACAGCTTTATTATGGAGAACTAATGTTAGGTCTCATATTAGAGCCATGAAAGGGACATCAGCGAAAGAAAATGAAAGAAAGAGAAAATGGAGATAAAGTGATCTACGTGGGACTTGAACCCACACCTCCTGCTATCCGGGCAGTTATCCTAAGCCAATTAGACCAGGAGGACCAACTTAATCTCTAGATTAGCGTCGAGTGAATCACTCAGACGCTAACAACTAAAGTTTTGTATGAAAAAAATATCACATCATAAACGAATAAAATAAAAAAAATGATAACATTTCATCAATTCAGAAATGATACAATACCACCAAGAAAGGATCTGCATATGTATGTTTGAGTCAAGGTTAGTAGATCTCAAGAAACTATAGGAGAAGTTTCGAATTTCGTCATTTATCCAGAACAATTTCTTCTGAGTTTTTTCCAAATTGTGATATTACTCTTTGATCTCACTTTTGGTATATTTGATTACGATGTCTAGTTGAAATTTTATTAGTAATTCAAATATTATTCCCATTCTTCTAAAATCGTTCCATATTGCAGATCTTTGAAACCAACAACAGTAAACACACCCTTGGACCTAAATTATCTTCAAAATACACTAAATACTCTGTATTGCCGTAAAAAGTCATCTAAATAAATAGTTTCTTCGATATGAATTGAATATTAAGCTTAAGAAATTATTTTCTCACATGATATTTTTTACATCCTAAACTGAATGATTTTTCATTTACGTAGAGCTCTATTGTAGTTGAGTAGATGCTAATAAAACAAACATATTGTATTGAAAAGATAAACAACTGTCTTGTGATTTTTTTCGAACTAGTGCAGAAAAACGTCTCAGTTTTTTCGAGTTTTTATAGAAATATTTCATTTATAACTTTTTGGTCTGATAACCCTGGCTGGATTTAACTGAAGTGTTTATCAATAATAATGACTCGAAAATACGATATATTGAAAAATCGATTTATTTAATGAATAACAATTAGAAAGATCTCTAAGATAACATTAAAGCAACGTGATTTCTTTTATTTTATGAATCATCTATAAACATAAAAACGTTCATTACAATATTACGGAAAAATTTAATTATCATGGAAGTGCAAGACAGCTATGACAAGATGGAGGAAGCCAAAAAAATTTAATAGCAAACTCTGTACGTTCGATAAGGGCATTTTTGACTAGCGAAGTATCACATAATTTTATTAATTTCTTATTTTATCACCATTTTTGATTAATCTTATGTTCATCTTATTCAACTAATTCAATTAAGTATTAACTTATAAATTTAAGTTTTTATTTTATTAGTTTCTAATTAGAATTGATATAGAATGAAACGAAAAGAAAAACACAATAAAACGGATACTAGCTAATAAAAAGAAGTTGCTTCTTTTTATTTAGCTAGTCCTATAAATACTAGCTGATTAGTGGAAAAAGAAAAGAAAAGAAAAGAAAAGAAAAGAAAAAAAGTTTCTCACATACAGATTATGAAAAAAAAATTGAATTGCGAATAATGTTCGTTTTCGCAAAAATCCGTCATTGTATAAATGTTTTTGATTGGTTTAAAGTGTAACTGTTGCTGTTGGTACACGTAAAACCAGCACAACCTATCCTCCCTCTTAACCACAACCAGCATCATCATAAGCATCATTACCACCATTATTAGCAGCATTATCAGCATTACAACCAGTAGCAGCAGCAGCAGCAGCGTCAGGAGGATCATAACCATCAGGAGAATAAATGTAATAAACATTATAAGTAGAACCATAACTACAATAAATAGTACCATAATTAGGATCAGTACAAAGAGGACAAGTAGTAACCGCAGCACAACAAACAGTAGTGCAAGGTGGAGCTAAAATTTTAGAAAAGTATTAATAGATAAGTATCCTAAGCACAACAATGCAAAAAACCAATCGTGATTGGTCGTAAGTCTGAAATTCACCATTCACAAATGCGTGAAAGAAAAAACACAATGCTGTCATTCTGCAGTTTTGATTGAAATCTAACTATCTGGCACCAGCTCAAAACCAAAATAGCTAGTTCTTAACAATCAAAGTTAGGTAACATTATTCGATAACATTTGCCCTTATTTGTAGTAGTCTAGAATAACTCAAATTCGGCTGAAATAAAGAAAATCAAAAAGAGATCAGTCAGAATTAACTGAATTAGACACCCTAAAAATACTTATGACTTAGCTTTTTATGTGCAGAGAAGAAAAAAGAGCAATTGGTAGTAGAAGAGTATTCTACTCACAGGAATGTCTTAGTGGATATAATATTTATTTGTAGTAGTTACTTAAATGTCCAACACTGTTATTTTACACCGGTTTCAATCTTTTCTAGTAATAATCCTAGGAGTTTATCAAGTGAGATTATAATAGAAGCACACAAATAGCGATTTTGGAGACGAATGTAGACGTTCGCTTTGTTTTAAAATATCATTTCGAAGAGCATGGTTTTCTGGACTCAGAGTTTAAGCAGAATTTTGAGAAACTTAGAGGTAGAATAGATGCAGAGCAGGAATAGCGCAGCGGTGTGTGTGATATATTGCAGATAACGATAATCTCAGCTACATATATCAGTCTTCTATCTCAGGTGGTTCAAAAAGTCACGATATTGAAAGAAAATTGAATATTTTGATTATAACTCAACCGAATAGGCTAATTATTTTGGTTAATGAAAAGAACTTTATTTAAGATTTGTTTTCATAGGGAAAGTATACGTAAATACTTTTACTAAGTATGGTTCTTAGCCTTAATAAAGAAATTTGAACTGTTGACAAATAAGAAAAGTTCATAGAAAGCGTTCTATACATCATTTCTAGTTGTCAATTAATAGAAAGACAAGAAGAAATCCAAACAAACTTCAGGACTGATAGAATATTGATGTAAATAGCGCAAAGTTTTAGGGCTAAGTAGTTAAAAAGATTGGATTCTCGTTAGATGTTTGTAACGTACAACTGAAGCTCTTTGAGTACTAAATCATCAACTTTTACTAAAAATCGGTGTTTTATACTTGAAAGTTTGAGATATTGTAACTATGCACTTTTAAATTACCTAGTTATATAAATACGCTCCGTTTTCATCAATATTCTACCATTTCTAAAGTTTGTTTGTATTTCTTCGTGTCGTTTTTTTAGTTGATAACTAAAAATGACCTATAGAACAATTTATATGGACTATTCTCATTTGCCAACAGATTAAATTTTTTCAGTGAGGCTAACGATAATACTTAGTAAAAGTATTTGTTTACATTATTCTTATGAAAGAACCCTTGAACCAAGTTCTGATATTAGCCAAAAAAATCAGTCTATTTTATTGACTCGTAGTCAATATATTTAATTTTCTTTTCGTATCGTGACTTTTGAATAATCCTGTATATAATCAGATACGCAAATTGTTATTTTAAGTTCAGTGATATACAGACTCATGTTTGACCTTGTACGGCGAAGACAAAACGTACTAGGCATCCCGAACACCTGGTAATTTGTCTAGGTGTTCGGATTCGACTTTTTTTTTTGCCATTTTTACCGGGAGTCCGTAAAAAAAGTTTATTAGGCGACTATAATTTAAAAAAAAACAGGGAAATCGAAACGAAGTGATCGACTATATGTAAATTAATACTGTCGGTAAATCGGGATGAAAATGACCGGGTGTCCGTAAACTCATTTTACCTGGAGATCGTAAATATATTATAATACTTATAGAGGGCACTAATCTTAAGGAGAATGTAAATATTAGAGTGAGGGCGTGGGAAAAAGCATTATGTAACCACTCCCACAAATGGTAAAGCAATGAAAGCTAAGAGTCGTGGTACAACAAATAAACGGATGAAAAAATAACATTCCGTTTCTTTGCACATCTCACTTTTTTTCTTATGATAAAAATCCCTATTCTTTATCAACATTAAAACAAATGTCTCTATTCTTTTCTTTGATTTAGTTTTCTATTTTTTGTACTTTGTTTGATTATCTATGCTATTTCTTGTGCTTTTTTCTGAGTTGAAAAAGATTTATTGTATTCATGAGAACATTATTTTGTTCATTATCTTAAAATACAAGCTACTGGGTCATTTAAAATATCTCAAAAAGTGCACACACGAACATAGTTACGAACATCCTGCCTCTTTTCATTACGATCTGCATATTTTCATTGTTACGATCTCCCGGTTACTTTCATCCCGAACACCCTGTTTATTTTTTGAATTTTTGACATTCCGAAGATTATGCATGTTTTCGTATGTCGGGAAGTCGGGACGAACATCTCCTCAGGGAAATCGTAAAAAAAAGTTGGTGCGTTTTGTCTCTTTCCCGAATAATATAAATTGTATAAACTAGATGCGATGATAGACCGATAGATACTTGTAAAGATTCAAAAATACAGATGACAGTGGAAAATAAAAAGAACTAGGTGGGTGCAAATACCGTACGATGAAATCATTGGTATCAAAAATGTATGATAAACTATCAATGTGTATGAAGCTTTATAGTAGTGCAACTAGACAAGGACACAGCCTCAGTTTCGCTGAATCGAGATAATCTTTATGAAAATGGAAGCATATAGTTCTTTTCAATTACGAGATAGCGACTGAGAAGTTAATTCTCTAGAAAACTTTCCTAACTCTCTCACAACTGCTTTGCAAGATTTCACATACTTATCTTTCAAAAAAACAAAGCGTTGCTTATGATATCATACCATGTGATACAGAGTGACGAACTTTTATCAGCCTGAATATATATTAGCTCGGTTTATTTTGGGAAAAAATGAAATTTTTGATTAACTGAATCTATGAAATGACTGAAGCAAAATAAAAAACAATTAGTCGAATCCAGGAGCGGTTTGAAATGCGCTGAAAAATAATAAAGATGATAGTTCACGTGTCGTGCTGAAGCATTTTCGACAGCCGAATCGTAAATGCAGTTCTATATCACTCATTTACCTTTATTCCACAGGGAAAAGTCAAGCTTATGTACAACATTTTATCTCGAAAGAATCTCTCAAGGTAATTAAAGAGTTTAGAGCCCAAATTTTGGCCATTAAGTAGATTTCAATGATATATGAAAAAGTTCAAAAGGATTGGTGCCCTTGGGGCTTTCTTTTGAGAATATGGAATTTTTACGATACGAAATGAGAGAACAAGGACAAAACATTCGATGGTGGATTTTCTCGAGAACACTGAGGTATCAGAAGTTGCAACGTTTTTTCTGTTCTGTATTCTACTTGTCTTTCTCGTTTAGTTTGTCATACCATTCCAAAACATAATCTTTGATGGATGGCAGAGATTGATATACTACCAATATTGTTGCTCTTCTCTCTCTCTGTCAACATGCCGTCTCGTTCTGATAATGAATATTTTGCGTTTCTATTCTTTTTTCATATGTGTTTTATCGTATGTAGACGTTCTTTTCTCATTTTTCATTTACAAGATATAAGTGCAACGCAAGAAAGTAATTGATTTCAGTTTTACTCTTCTTTATTTTGAAATGATTAATCCATCATATGGCGTAAAGATTTTCACTGATTTTCTTTAGAAAGATTATATATCTTTTGGAATGCTATGAAACATTAAACGAGAAATTTATCGATTCTTTCAATTCATGAGCAAAGAATAGGATCGTTCTAAACACATTTTAATCTGACTCATAATATTCAGACTGCATCCGACAAGTAGTATATAAAATAGAAAAAAATATTCCAACTCCTGCTATTTCACTGTTCTCAGCAAAACCATCATTGAATGTTTCATTCTTGGTATCTCGTCTCATATCGTAAAAATTTGATATTTCGGAAAGAAAGCCATAAGGGCATACATCCTTTTGAACTTTTTCATACATAATTGAGGTCTAGTTATGGAGAAAAGTTGGGTCTTAAACTCTTTGATCACCTCGAGAAGTTTCCTCGTAAGATGAATACTGTTAACACCACTAAATTTTTATTCTGAAAAATTTGTTAAAATGGTAATGCTTAACCTATTGTAACACGTTCAGCATCAACTTTAAAATATTCTATACCCTTAGTATCGCCTTCTTTCAAAAACGGAATTCCCTCAAACTCTACAGTTAAACTAGTTTCAGAGTTATTCAGAAACAAGCTTTGTCGATAGTGGCGGAGCCACCAGTGGGGCTACGCGGGGCTAAGCCCATCTAGAAAGGTTTGAGCCCTGCTTAGGAAGTTTTTGAAAAGTTTTTCTGAAATAGAACTTTCAACGATACTTCTCTATTTAATTATATTATGAAAGATAAAAGTTTTTCCTCTTTTTCTACTATATAAAGAAGTATATCTAGCTATATTTAATATTTACATAGATAATCTAATGCAAGATTTTCTACTTTTCAATTTAGATCACTATATTTTCTTAGCGTATCAGTGTCACTAATGCAACGGTTGCTTGTTACTGAGAGCTGTAAAAAAGAATTTAGTCTACGATCTCTCGTGCAAAATATTAGCGCTCGTAGTAGTATATATGAACTAGAAAGGATTAAAAGTATTGTTATGTGCGACTCTTGTATGTTTGATATGTTCGTATTCTCTCTCTTTTTTTTGTTCTACTAAGATACATAAATAACACGTTGAATAAACATATAACTCTTTTCTTTCCTTCATTTCAAGGCATTTTCCACACGTTTGTCTTCCCTTGTCATAGTCTACGTATTTTTTGTTTTCGTCCGATCTATTTTAAGGTATCACTGTTTTTTTTCTATTTCATTCAGTTGTATATAGATCTCATCTGAAATAAAGATTAAAATTTAATATTCATCAGTTAGATGAATCTCCTTCTGACAAGTATAAGTTCTTCTCCTAGAAAATTAAACAAAAAGCCTACGAATTTGGTCTTACTATCGTCAGATTCACAAGCCAAAGATTCACATGGATAAATCAGAAAATATTAAACTATTTATTAGTACATGTGTCTCTGACTCAAATATTCATCTCCATCTTCCTCTTTCTCTTTACTTATAGATCACTTTACTGTGACTTGTGTTC